GTACCCTTGCGGGTCCCACACACACTCATACCAACAAGCACTCAGACAGGCATGCAGGTCGCAAGCACTCACACGCACAGACAGACTTAGAAAACACAGCAGAATGCGGGAATCTCATCAAGGCATCCATTCCATCGGCAGAACTTCAGAAATCAGCAGTGTTCTYAGTCTSTGTTATGACGGGTCATTACACTAAACCCCCCTCAAGAGCGAGGTCCCTTCGAGCGAGYAACTCAATCAGAGTCCTTGCATAGTGCATCATAGGCRTAGATAGCAAAGAGAGATCAGGCGTGTTCCGTAGGAGTCAGGGTAGCWGTAAACTTTGGTTGTTGTTCAACACTTATCAATCGTTCATAGGCATTAACGACACGCGGTGCACTMTGCAGTAAGTCTTTCCTAACAATCCAATAGAAATCGTCCAATGGATGGTASAAAAAATGAACTTTGTACTGTCTGTTTCTTCCCTTCYCACTGTGTTCGACAATCCTATCAACCTCATGGCCGCCATTGATTGCGCGGGGAATCATTGACTCTCGGKACTTGAACGTTTCAGGTGGTTCATATGGAAACAATTTTGACGCATGAAAAACTGGGTATGTGCGCAAATGTGCAGGCACATCAATCGTGTAGGAAGGACCGAAGGAATCACTCCCTACCTGGTTCAAGACCTGCCACGGATCGTAGTACTGAGGAAAAAGCTTTCGTGAGACACCTTCCTCTTCAGAAAACTCAGACGTTTTGACCCAGACATAACTTCCCACTGTGAATGGTGCAGGCTGGCGCTTCTTGTTAGCATGTTTAATCATGGCACTGCGTCGCCTCTCCATAGCTGCGACAACAACTTTGAGTAGGCGATCGAACTTGGCGCTGTAGCCCGGCTGGCCAGGTGTTAGGCCAAGTGGCTGATCAGGAAACAAATAAGATAGAGGATTGCGGATTTTCCATCCAAGATGCAACCGGTTAGGCGTCATCCTGGTGGAGGAGTGGATGGAGTTGTTGTRCAACCCCTGCACAATCGGCAACTCCTCATCCCAAGAGTTCTGATCAGGTACAATTAGAGCCCTAAGAAGCTGGATCACGGTCTGGTTGATTTCCTCAGCCAGTCCATTGGCTTCGGGGTGTCGCCCAGACGTCATCTTGAGTTTCATGTCACAGGTCTGGGATGTGAAATCTTTCCAGTGTGCGCTTATGAACCTGGTGTCCCAATCACTCACGAGAGTTTTYGGGGGGCCATAATGTAGCACGTACCTTTTGTTGAACTCATCGATCACAAGGTCAGTTGGGGCSTGAGGTGGCAAGGGAATCAGATTTAGAAATTTCGAAAATCGATCAACGATCACCATCACTTGCGAATAACTGTTTCTGCTCTTCTTCCCCATGTCCGTGAAGTCAATGGAAACAGACTCAYTTGGGCCATCAGGGATAGGAAGAGGGTGCAGCAGGCCATAGGGCTTCTGCCGAGACGGTTTAATGCGYTGACAAACTTCACACTCAGCCACAAACCTTTGTGCCATTCTTTTCATTCCAGGCCACACAAACCTTTCCAACAGAWTCCCGTATGTCTTCTCAACACCGAAGTGTCCACTCCGGCCATGAGCCAAATCCAAGAAGTGAGTGATGATTGGCTCATGGTTGGGTACACACAACCGGTCATGCTTATTGTAGCGTCGGAAGAGAAGGCCCTTACATTCATGGAAATCAGGCTGACTACTAGGGTCAGCCCGAATCTGCTCAAGGATGGGACCGAGTTCCGGATCCTTGGCAGTGTGCTCAATGAGTTCCTTCTGTAAGTCTTTGCGAAGATTGTAGGAACCCACTAGGCAAGTCATGTGCTCAGGGTGGCAAGACAAAGCACCCGCAACACGATTATAGCATCCTTTCTTGTGTTTTAGTTCAAAATTATACACATCAATCTCATGCAGCCAGCGGGTCAGCGTAGTTGATGGGTTTATCTGTGTCTGAATCCACTTCAAAGTCTCATGATCCGAGAACACTTTGAAATGGCGACCCAAGAGGTAGTTTTTCCAATGGTCTAGTGCCTCTCTCAAGGCATAGAGCTCTCTCATGTAAGTGGAGGCAACTACCTTGTGGCTGGGCATGCGTTTGCTGTAGTATTCCAGCGGACGTAAACCATCACCATCATCTTGCTGCAGCACTGCATCAATCCCATACAAACTCGCATCCGAAGTTACTACGAATGAAAGCTTGGGATCTGCAATGCGGAGCACCGGATGACTCACCAAAGCCTCTTTCAATGCTTCAAAGGCTGTCGTGCATTCTTCATTCCATGCGTAGGACTCATTCTTGCTTGTTAGTCWAGACAATGGAYGGGCAATGATAGAAAATTTAGGCACAAACTTACGGTAGTACGACGCAAGACCAAGAAAAGAACGCAACTCGCRGACATTCGCAGGTTGGGGYCATTTTTGGATGACCTMAACCTTGGTTGCCTCGGGCTCTAGGCCTGYAGCAGACAACCGATGTCCAAGGTAGATGACGCTGTCCCTCCCAAACTCAGATTTCTCCAAGTTGATATGGAGYTGCGCGTCCTTRAGRATTTGCATCACTTCCTCAAGGTGTCTCATGTGCTCCTCCATCGATTTGTTGAAGATCAGTATGTCATCCAGATAAACAACAACAAACCGGTTAATCTGATGGCGGAACACTTTGTCCAYGAGACTTTGAAAGGTGGYTGRCGCATTCGTGAGACCGAAGGGCATGAYGGTAAACTCGTACAACCCATCGCGAGTTTCGAATGCGGTTTTGTGYTGGTYCGCAGGATCGACTTCGATCTKGTGGTAGCCARACTTGAGATYGATCTTGCTGAARACTTTGCACCCACCCGCACCATCAAGCAAATCATCGATRCGTGGCAAAGGATATGCATTYTTTCTCGTGATCCGATTCAACCCGCGATAGTCAATACACATCCGCAACTTACCTCCTTTCTTAGGGACAAACAGCACCGGTGCACYAAACTCCGACTCACTCGGCTTGATCCATCCCTTCCCAATCATTTCATCAATCTGCCTTCGCAACTCCTCCAATTCGCCTGAGCCCATTCGATAGACACAACCCTTTGGAGGAGTGCTACCTTCAATCAACTCGATCCTGTGTCGGACCGGACGCACGGGGACTCCATGCAGTTCGGCCAAGACGTCAGGAAATCGGTTGAGAAGGTTACGAATTTCCGATGGGATTTCCGGAGGGGGATCATCACTCTCAGGAGCAAGCATGTTAGTTTGTATAGGTGCAACCAAAACAACAGTATTAGAAGTAGAGTCATTTGGACTAGAGATGGACTTAGTAGAGGTAGAAGTAGTTGCATCCGAGGTGGACACAGCATGCAGAGTAGAATCACTATGTACARCAAAAATAGAAGGCACATGAGYAGGCCTAACAAAGGCTATATACATTTGCTCATCAGTTTTGCGCCTGCGCCACTTTTTGCAGAATTGCAAAGGTCACTTGGGACTCGCGCGGTTCATCCAAGAGGACGGGGCGCTCGATCCCCATGGCATYTTTGACCATGAATTGTGAGTCCTTCCACGTGGTTCTTTCACATTGGGCCTGCAACCAGCCCAAGCCAATAACCGCGTCGAAGGGGCACTGATCAAGGACATAGAAGTTCAATTCATGCGTGATTGTGCGATCAGCGTCAAAGGTAGTGCGCACACCTTTGACTGCATGCGTGGAAGTGACAACCTCTTGGTTGCCCACTTGGGTCCGACAAGGATTCTGCAAAGTCACTTGCTTCATCCCCAAGTGTGCCTTACGAATGCCRTGCGGTGAGAAGTAGTTGGCGGTTGCACCACAATCAGCCAACGCACGGATGTAACGACCATTAATGTAGAGTTTGAAAAAGATCAACTTCGTCCTCCCTTGCGCGCATTCTTGCTTCATGTGAGCCCAGCGCGTCAACAGAGCACGAAAGTCAATCTCTTCCGACTCTACCCAAGGCTCCTTGTATAGGATGTGTAATTTCTCAGCCTTGGAATCAGCATCAGATGGGGTTTCAGGAGAGGTTTGCTGAGTGGGATCAGAATCAAAAGAATAATCTGTACTTACATGTTCAGCCTCTCCATCAGTAGAGTGTGGTTGATGACGCCTCTACCCCCGTTGCTGGTTTCCCTGCTGCAATCTGAAACAGTGTTGGACTGAATGTCCTGGTCTGGTGCAATGCAGGCAAACTCCTCTCTTCACCCTGTTCTTCCACTCACTTTCACTAATCCGGAGATCTAGCCATGGTTTTGTGGCAGGACCTTTCGGTTTTGGTGGAATCTTTGCTCCCTTGGGAAGAAGGATAGTGTTAATGTTGTTCTTCATCGTGGTCCTCGGTCCCTTACTTTTGAAGGCAGTCTTTTTAAAGGCATTCATGGATTCATCGTCATTTATACACTCAGACTCATGGGCTGACAAAGAGCAAGCTGCCCCGCAGTCTTGCTCTTGATCGTCATCAAGAGAAGATTCTTCTACGAGGGTCTCCTCGTCAGCCTCAACCAGATCATGCGCTGCAAAACGGTTGCTGCCTGGAAACCGTTTGCGGCCAGTGGCCTTTTTGCCACTTGATCCACCCGGGAGGTYTTGTGCCTCCAGCTTGACTAAGTCMCGCATGAGGGTAAGCCAATCTGTATATCCGTTGAGCCCGAGCCCTAGGCGATCTTTCAGAGWAGAGGGGACCGTACCTTTTATCACATCCAAGCAAGACTGCACCGTCATCTCCAGATCCGGAGTAGCAAAGAGTTTACTGACGTACTGCTGCAGACTGTGCATGGTGCCRGTCCACTTGCTGTGCTTGAGCTTGTCAAGCTTGAGTCTTGTTTTAGCTGCAGCATGTGGATCARCATATTGCTTGATCAAGAGATCCTCAAGTGTGGTAGTAGGCGTAGCCTTCAACCATTTGTTCARGTCTATTCTCTTATAGCCTRATTGGACAGYTTGGGTTTCTAGGAAACCCCGCACGACGGGCTCCACATTGGTCCCCAGGATAGACCACTGAGTGGACGGGGGTGTCCCCAATACATCAAAGTAGGACCGCATAGAGCTGATCCAAGACTCGACGTCGTCCTTTCCGTCATACTTGGACGGAATCTGCACCGCCTTCCTGTTGATGTAAGCGAAGCTGCCGCCTGGCCCAGCCATTGCTGGGTCCGGGCCCGGGGCTGCAACAGTTTCAGAAGTCCCTGCACCACCACTTGCCGCAGCAGCAGCAGCAACAGCACCAGCGGGGTCTGGACTTGCTGCAGATCCGCTTTGGCCGTTAACCATACTCAAAGAAGAAGAAGAAGAAGAAGTAGAAGAAGAAGAAGTAGACGTAGTCAGAGGGGCAAAATTGGACTGACACGCAGCATTGGAGGCAGGATAGGTGAGTGAAGAGACGATTTGAGCCTGTTGCGAACTAGCAAACTGTTGCAGCTGATCGTGGTGCTGTTGCGCCATCTTGGCCATGTCTTCGCGCAACTCCTTGAGATGCTTAAACACTTGTGCGAGCTGGCCGGTATGGTCCTCAGCAACCCGGACCCCTGCTAAGCTCTGAGGAGGGGAACTGTTTTCTCTTCTACCTCCTCATCAGTCAGAGCGGACACGGTGCTAAGGACGGCCTCGTGAGCCTGCACCTTATCCCTTCTCTCTCTCTCTTTCTCTTCCTCCTCCCTCTTCAAGGCTTTCTCGTAGAAGAACTGATATTGCGGTTTTTCWGCCTCAGGGGCAGCGTCCATCTGCAGTTTCCAATCTGCTGCAGATGCCATGATGGAGGATGAGGGCGTCAGTMGGACTCTCAAGAGGAGTCCGTACTTCCTCTCAGCTTTGTGACGAACGCTCCTCTTCCCTCTCCTCACTCCCTCAAGGGCAACACTCAATAACTTCTCTCTTCTCTCTCTCTCTCTCGTTTGCGACAGTGTAGACGCAGACATTAAAGAACCTAATGAAAGAAACAGCTTGAAATCATTCAGAAGAGAAGGTAGAACTCCTAGCCGGAGCGGCAATTCATTTGGACTGGAGAGCAGTCAAAACAGAAAAAAAAGAAAAGATCAGAGACATCTGATCCAGCCACACAGTCTGGACTGACTACGTATGGGGTCCTCCCAAGCCTAGCCAGCCTCAGCGCCGTGAAAACACAGCAAATCAGATTCAAGATGTACAACGAAATGCAAGAGAGAATTGAGTGGTGTATAAGGCGCGAGTCAGGCGGCGGATTGTGCGGTAAAGTCTGATAAAACGTCCCAGCGGAGATCCCCTCCGCAGCGAGTGTCCTGGTCCGAAAGCATAAAGTCCGTGTCCCAATCAGATAGAGCAAGGTAACTGACGTCAACAGATTTGGCCTGAGGGGCCCTTCTCGTTTGGGCCCGGTCCCACTGAGTCCCAAATGGTCCCAGTGGAGTCAGAACCGGGTCCCAACCAACAAGAGTTCCACAGAGACCTACTTTGTCCCTACTGAATTGAAAAACGAAATTTTGCCCCAGAAAGAACCTGTAGGCTACCGCCGTTCAGAATGAAATAAACAAAGCACTATAGAGAGATATCACATGGCAAACAAGATACTCCATTCATTCACTCATCAGGTGAGTAGGGAGTTCACACACCTCACACACAATCAAGACTATGGAGGATGGAAGAAGAACCCAAAGAACCCCAACAGGTAGTCAACTCCATGCACACACACATGGGCACCCTGGTGGCACGACACTTGAGTGGCCGGGCTCTTGAGATGAAAAGAACTCACCCCCCTCTCGCATAGTCCTCCTGACCCAATTAGCATCCATCCTCTACACTAGTGTCCTATCATCTAGGAGGCTCAACATCTATCCCAAAGTACAAAGCCGGATCCCTCGTCACTGTTGAAGATCAAAGCAACAACTTGCAGTCCGTAGGTGCAGATATGGCTGCCACCCTCAAACTCGCCTACTTGAGGGGAGCCCTAAAGTCACTCCTTGTCTTCCTTGAAGTCAAGATTCAAGTTGTAGGTGCCCATCACTGTCGCCTCTCTCAAATTGCATCACGAAGTCCCACCTTGTGTCTCGCCACCACAAACATGCACTCAAGCAACCTGGCCGGGTCTAGTGTCGACCCTACACGGCCCTGCCAGGTGGGGGCATCTTCCCTTTACCACGCTGCCCCACTTAACCCTAACTTCCAGCCCTAACCCTAAGTGGTAGCCCTTACCATTAGGGTGAGGGTTATGGCAGCAAAGTCAACTCTCGCCAACAAGTAGAATCCGCTCCGATACCAATGTTACGATCCTGGC